TAAACCCTTACACTTCAGGTTAACTAGTCTAGGAAAACCATTCTTACAAGTAAAAGACACATATGAATAAAAGGATTGCAACATTGTATAATAGACAAGAATTTCAAAAAAACATATCTATTCGTAGAAGAATAATTACACCTCATGACATGGGAATACTATGCAACTATCATACAGGATGAAAAGGATCCAAACACACTGACAAAAAACCAGATATATGATATATTATGCACTGCAAAAATGTTAATGAGCTGGAAAAGATTCAGCAAATAGTGTGATAATATTTATACTAGAGTATACAAACAAATGAATACACCTTTGTATATACACTTGTGTGTCAATTATGGGAATACATTAATTAATGTGCAGACATCATGGAGTATCACTACACAAACTAAGATGTCTCTATCACTAGGCAACATACTCTTAAGGGGTTACCATATTTAGTTGTCTGTTGACTGAAACATCATTCATCATTTTGAAGCTTATGACTACCTATATGTCCATTCCATAAAGAAAGGATTTATAAATACATACATCAGACTTATTACAAAGATGGACTTTGTGATAGGGAGGTGAAGATGGGGGAAGGGTCAAGGCAGGTTTTGACTTTTATATAATTCTGTACTGTATTGTGTGAGGGCTAATTTTTTTAAAAAAAATATTGAAAATGTAAAAAAAAAGCTTTTTAAAATGACATATCTTACTGGAGAAAGCATCAAAGTGGTTCACAAGATTGTTGGAGAATAAATTGGCTGCACTCTGATCACTCCATAACTTGTAGAGGAAATTGGGACAATTGAGGAAGCAGAAGCCTTAGCAGCTTGGGGAAATGGCTCTTGCAGTATTGCTCCTCACTTTCCCAGTCTCCCTCTTTCACTGAATCTGCTGTATAAACCAACATGCATGTAGTTGCTCAACTCCCTTTCATGTTTTCACCCATGTGCAAACAGTGTCAATCCACTGAGTTTTGTGTCATCTGGTAGTGACATTTTCTACCTTTCTTTGTTGCTCTCATCTTCAAACCTCTGGCCTCATTTCCCCTTCTCTGAAACCCAAACAGGCTCAATAAATTTATATATTTTTTTGCTTCAATAAATCATATCATTTCAATCCATTAATGAGGGCAGCTACTTTATGCTTCTGATTAGATTAATTCTTCAATTACTTTAACATAGACAATGACCATATCTGTTAATGCAATACATTTTTCTTGTTAGACAAATATCATTCCAACTTTAAGATATAAGAAGAAAAAACAGTAAAGAATGAAAAGAGTAGAAATCACTGGGTGATGTGCACCCAAGCCCCATGAAGTCAGGGTTGTCTCAAGTCTTGTAGAAAGATGGTCCTCAGTCTTCAAGTCATGATCAAGTTGACACTATCATTATAAGTGATGACCCTGAAGGTTTTAATTTGCATGTGGTGGACTCTCCCACTTGGAAACTGGAGGGCCCTGGGATAGCTCTCTGGAATTCTTTGGCTTCCTCTCCTTTTGAGGAATAACCCAATGGTGGTGGTCTGAAGAAGCACTGGCAGATACACTACCAGCTTCTGAAAGGCTCTGGCTACTTTTGCAAGGATGAATCCTTCCTTATTTTAAATAATGCAATCAAATGAAGAGCAGTTAAACAATGTGCTTTTACAAGCTTTTATAGAGAAGAATTAGGATGGTGGTTTCTAATTCATTAGGGATTGAGGTGGGAAGAAAGTTGGGGAAGGGCATGTACACAACCAGGACTCCACTCACACACAACTGTGGATCCATTGAAGCATATTGTAATCAGCAAACCACAAAAGTGTCACCACTTCAAGCCCCACTTTTAAAAATAAAACTAGAAAATGTTTTATACTCTAGAAGCCTTGCTGCACTGCACCTGTTACAAGACACACTTCTATCCTGCAAGGAGCAGCAAATTCAGTTTTGAAAATGTTTTCTGCTTCGAGTCTGCAGAGAAATAACATCTGATGTGTAAATGAGAGGTTCAGGCAGGTACCCAAGGCTCTCAGGAGTACATGTGGAACAAAGTTCTGGCATTTGTCCAAAGCATCAAAGCACCTGAAATAACTCTAGTTTTTTTTTTCTGTAAGCCCTGGAAATTGGTGAGATGAGGCTAAAAGATGCAAGGATTTGAATCCAAAGAGGATACTCTGAGAAACACCTTACTTTACTGTATTCAGGACAAATGCAGACAGAAAAATCTTGCAGCTCTCACTGAAAACTATTTGCTGGGTTTTAAGCTATAATTGACACCTTTAATCTCCAAATTGTGATGGCAGTTGGCCTGGTGCACAGCCCTGGAGTCTAAAGAAGAAAAGTATAAAGTATAAAGAGATGCTATTAAAAAGATTTCTGTATATCAACAAACTCTCAGAAAGTATGTTGATGAGTTGAGTGTAAACAAATAGGAAACATAAGAATACAGATTTTCTTTCAAATATATACCGGCTTAAGCATGAAAGAGAAAAACATTCAGTTATTGAAATATGCTTGGGGTTTTGCTGAACCCAGAAATTCTGAAGAGTAGGGTGAGATGCTCTTGCCAAACCCTAAATACTGCAGAGTTGAGCATTCCCTCTCACTAATTAGATACATTTCATTTTGTGGATTTCTCAATTGTTTCTTCATCTTTTTTTTAAAGACAGAGAGAGAGAGAGAGAATTTTTTAATATTTAGTTTTTAGTTTTCGGTGGACACAACATCTTTATTTTATTTTTATGTGGTGCTGAGGATCGAACCCAGTGCCCCACGCATGCCAGGCGAGCTCTCTACCGTTTAAGCCACATCCCCAGCCCCTCTTCATTTTTTTTAAAGCAAAAAAAAAAAAAAAGAAATTAGCTTTGTCTTAGGGTAATGTCACTAATATTTTCACAATTAAATAATTATTTTAACCCCTGAATTAAAAACTGTCAGCTGTCTCTGTGGATGCAGTGGGCTGCCTGCTAGTTTCAATAACCCTTGAGTGCATCAGGTTAAGGACTGAATTTCTGCCCTTATAAATTAACACAAGGAACTCCATCATGCAATAGACAATTCTATTTCTAATTTTTAATTAATCCTATCCAGTCACTGACAAAACCTGCTTGTGACCTTCTGTTTCAACCTCACCCAAAAGCAAGTCTCCTGAGACGAGAAGTGTTAATATGTGAATGCTGATAGAATTTGCTGGCATTATGGTCAAGTATTAAATAGCTGACAGTCTGGATAAATTAGATTCTGATAGCTCACTAATCAAGTGTAAGAAGGAAATGTCAAGTTGGGAAGCATTGATGAAATCCTTCATCAAAATCCTGAGCTGGAGAGAGATAGAAAAAAGGGAAAATGTCCAAATCTTAACAGTGCCTCCAAATACTTCTCTGAAATATCAGCCTTGGCAGAAGAGACAAACAAGAGTAAGTACCAGAAATGTGGCAAAGGATGGCTGTGGGAGGCTATCCTGGGTGACTGTATTTATGTACTGTACCCTCAGGCTGCCTTCTCTTTGATACGGAAAACCCAGTGATAACCAAGTCAATACTGTCTTACCTAAGGCATTACAAACAGAGTGGAGTTGTGTGGAGAATTCCAGTTTCCAAAAATCTGTAGGGTATGGACAGAGTCACATCTGCAGAGACCTGAGGTTTTCCTAGGAAGAAACCCTTGGAAAGAGAAAGCTAGGCACGTGCTCCACTTGGGCATTTTTGCAGGTAGAGGGAGCAATAGTGGCCTGAGCATGTAGAAATTCTATCTGTGGCCTGGTTACCTGGACAAGGTTTGAATAGAACTATACAGGTTATTTCCATATGTTCTTGAGAATCAGGACAATAGCTTTCTTTCCTTTTGGCCTCCACATTCAAGAGTCAACATAATATGAGACTCTGGATGTGCTGTGAGCCTTTGGGCACACTCTTCAAACTTCTCTGTGTTTTCGTCTGTAAAATGGGAAATCAACAGTACCTGTCTCATTAGGTAGCTGTGTGAATTGATTAGAGATAATACAGACAGTCTTTAGCAGCACCTGGTATGTGGTAGGTGCCCTGAAAGTGTGGCTGTCATCATTGACACACCCTACAAAGTCTCTTTCTCTGGGCTCTCCCTCTCCTTTCCCAGTGCTGCCACTATAGCCTGGTCAGGCTGTCACAACCTCTGTCCTGCAAGCTTCCTAATTTATTTCCTTATTCTAAGTCCACAACTCTTCCAATACATCACACAAAGTACTGACACTTCAGCTTTCAAAAGCCCACTTGCCATCTCGTACCTACCTTGTTCAATGGCTGTACAGAGTTCATCACAAAAAGACTAAACTCCTTGGCCTTGAATGCAAGCCCACAACGACCCCCACCACTTGCTGGCCTTGGTTTCACCCTCTAATTTTATATTTCATTTCCCTTTCTCATGAACCTAGGCACTTCCAGAGCCATACTATTTTTCTATTCCCTCTATGTGTTTCCTTATTCTCCTCTACTTGTTCCAGAATTTTCTGTTTTTATAACTGCTCATTCTTCTTTCCACTTGGAATTTACATTCAGTCCAAATCCTGGCCATCCTTCAAAGCCAGGCCTGGATGTTACCTCCACCCTGGAGCCTTTATGGGTCTTACCACCATTTTACCATCCCTTCATTTTTTTTTCTGAGCCCCTTGAACTTCACCTGGAGTGACAGTCATCACTTGATATGCCTCCTATTTATGTTCCACATTCCAGCCTCTCAGCTTCATGGATCAGGGCTGATTTTCAGTTTTTCTGATATCCCTATCCTATGCTCTGCCTAGAGCAGCCCCTCTGCCAACATGGATGGCACAGTCACTGAGGAGCTGGTCTTGTGGCTTCATCTTTCTGTGACTTATTCTTAGTCACCTCGTTTCTCCTTCACATCCGTGCCTCTGGAACTATTTCAACCCCGGAAGTAAATGGGATGAAAACCTATCAGCAGGAAACCAAATAAACAAAATGCACAATGGACCCCCAACCACACCTTTCTTCTAGGAGGGAGCAGGGAGAAGATATCAGGAGTGCAGTACCTTTATACCTGGTCACTACAGCTGCATTGGCACTGAGCGGCTCTTGGAAGCTGACAGTGAGTGATGTGCTGCTGGTTACTGTGAGACAGGCATTGGCTGGCACCTCGGGGGCTCCTGGGACAGAAGGAAAAACACAGGGATCTTAACATAGCAAATCCTTTTCAAACAATGTCTCTGCGTCTTCAAAGGATACCTGGAACATTTGTTTGTAGAAGCTGTTAGATTTTGCTTTTGAATATTTTCATTAGACGTTTCAATGATTTTTATTTGTGGCCACCCTGGTCTTTTCTAAGGATTAGAATGTCTTCTGAAGGGGGGAAATAATAGCAGTCAATCCTTCCCAAAGTATCCTAGAAACACAAGATAGATAAAGCTGGGCCAGCAAAGGAAGGGCAGAAGTGATAGCAGGATCTGTAGACAGAATTCCATACCTTGCATGAAATACTTTCATGTAAATTATTTCATTAAGCTAAAACTCCTGCCCAAAGAGGCCAAGTTCTTTGCTCAAGAACTCAGTGGGATGAAAGCTCATGGCTTCCTAATGCCTAATTCTGGGTCTCTTCCAGAACAGGATTCTATCCAGCTTACTCTCAGGCTGCCTTCTATTACATTTCAGGTAGTCTTTTCTCTTATGGGCAAGTTTCATGCTCTAATCTCAGTCTCTAAAGGACTGATGGTGGTCTTAGGTATTCCTTAACACCCAGAAGGGGTTTTGTAATTTAGAAAATTATTAAAAAATGGCATCAAGTCTACAAACGTATCTGTTTCTAGTATTAATCTGTGCTAAATAAGGCACAGTAGCAAATGTACTTACTAAAGCAATTGCTGAGTCTCTGTAAAATCCACATATCATCATGTTGAGGAAATTGTTAATATTGAGAGCAAACTTTAATTAATGTTGCTGAAGTTATTTGCTTCAGAGAAGGGGTTAGGCTTACATTTGGTATTCAGTGTAAAGTGCTACTTAAGAAAACTGCTCTGCCTTTAGTTTTTTGGTCTGAATCAGAGTCAGTTATTCTTTTGCAAATAGTCTGAGGCAGAGGAAGAGAATTTCAAAGGAGTCATCTGACTTTTCCCTTACATTTAAAATGTAAAGTCAATTTTTTTATTGTTTGAATAAAATCTTCCAGAAAGAGAGTATGATATTACACAAGTGTTTGAGTTGCATATTTTGTTTTTATACTAGGGACTGCTTTTTCTTTTAGCAGTACTTTCCAGTGTTAATAATGAGTATTATCCAGAAAGATTTTTCTTAAGCTAACAAAAAGAATCAGTCAGGAGAATGGAAATGCAGACAATAGCATAATTTATGGTTTGATTGACTGTTCTTCTCTGTTGCTTTATTAATTGAAGTTCAGTTTATAGCTCTCTATTAAAAAAATGTAGAAGAGGGTTGAAAACAACTTAAACTTGAGCTTGAAGCAGAAACTAGACAAATAGGCAAACAAATTTTTTTCCACCTCCACATCCCAAAATATAGCCACTTAGGGCATCAGACAGTCCAGGTCATTAGGCATTAGAGCATAGCGGGTGGAAAGTGCTAGATGAGTATGACATGGTGGAGGGAGGCCAGAAGCACCAAGGTCTCATGGCTGTGGCCAGAGAACCTATCAGGAGCCAGAAAATCAAGCAAGACAAAAGACCCTTTTACAGCCTCCCAGAGCCCTTATTCCAAACAGGCTGACAACGGCCATCCATGACTGTGGCAAAAAAAAAAAAAAAAAAAAAAAAAAAAATCAATAAAAGAAGGCCTGGCTGTCTCAGAGTAAAGTTAAAAGTCTAATTAAATGTAGGAGTCCTCTGTGAATACTCACTGGCATGTTCGAAGCCCGTTTTCATGCGCCTGTAGAGCCGATACCTCCACTCCCAGGCTTTCAGCTGTTTCTCTTTCTCTGTGTTGTCCAGAGTGAATCCTTCATTCTCCACCTGGGCAGACAGTTCACTCACCCTGTCCTGGGCCTCCTGGACCAGTGTGTTGAGGTGCATCGCTCGGCTTTCCAGGCTGACAACTAAGGCAAAGAAATGGGATGACTTTTCTTTCTGGGAAAATGCTGCTGCATATCTGAGTGTCTGCTATGGAGAATGCCTGGAGAAAGTGGGGTCTGTGAACCATCTTATTATCTTATTATGATAAAGTCTAATTAGTGACATTTACAACTAGATTAACTGGTAAATTCATCAAATTAAGATATTCCTATTGTTCTCTGGTCATATGCATCCCAATTAGCTGCTAGGCACAGATAGTTATAATTGCACAGATTTGTGTCTGTGATGTTCAGAAAGACAAACACTAAGGGACAAAAGCTCTATAGGGGCAGGAGAGGCACTAGAAAAAGCTACCCATGAGGCAAGTTGTGTTCTGTCAAAGCTATTCATTTGATAGAGCCTGATTTAGATTTTCTGTTCTTATCACATTCTTCCCAACATATAGACATTTTGAAAGCCCGACCTAAAAAAAAAAATTTGGAAACAACAAATTAATTAATGCCAAAAAAGTGATGTACTGCTGGTGCCACAGTGGAGCTAGTGAGCTCTGAGGGATGGATAACTTGGGTACCATCCCATACTTATCTTTGAGCAATTTGATCTTTGATGGTAGTCTAATTATAGAATTAAAGTTGTCCAGAGATGTCCATTCTCAAAATAACAACTTATACTGGTTCCTTTTTCCAAGAAACACTATAGAGCTTGACATTTCTGTTTTACTTGGTGCTTCATAATCTTAATCTTTATTTGATTTACATCATCTTGTTTACCTGATCTGCCTCTGTGTGATTGAGTGTTCATCAGTGATAGAACTTTTCCATCCCTGTGCTATGCTATGAGGCTGATTCTTGCTCTCAGCATATGAGGGTCTGCCTATGGGGTCATCTGGTCACTTCAGAGGATCCTCTCTTGGTCAGTGTAGGAGAGAAGACAGCCTCCATATGGAAGTGTGGTAGGAGATCACACAGTGAAATGAATCAGAATCAAGGTCTGCAGATTTGTTGGTGAAATGTGTTTGACAGGTCCTGTGACCAAAACAATATTTCCCCCTGGTGGGTGGGAAAGAAATCCATCTATTTCATTCTTTTAATTAAGGGGGAAAATATTATGAAGATAACTCAAGTGAAAATTTGTTAGGTGTATTTTGAAATGGAAATTAGGTGGTTATATATTCATATTCTCTGTGTTCATAGGCATGTTTGCATTAATTACAGGAAATGAATACTAATTTATTATTGCCCCTGCGTACCATCAGTCTAAATTTATTTACAGATGAGGTCAATGAAAAATTAGTTGAGTCTTTTTTCTTTTTCTTTCTTTCTTCTTTCTTCTTAAAGTTGCTGTTTAGAACACTCAGGACTGTGTTTTGCTGCAGATTTGTCATGGTTAATGAATGTTGCTGTAGCAGTCAATCATGTACTCTAAATACTGTCACGCTTTTTTTAAAAAGCCTCAGTCATGAGCCATGACAGAAAAATAAACAAATAAATATAAAGCTAAAAAACTCTTTCACTGAGCAGCTACACTATGCAGAATCCCCCGGGAAAGCTAAAGGAGGCCAGAATAAATGATAATATAAGTGCTGTGGACGTCGGGAAGCAAGGATGGTGTATGAACGCGGAGATTCTGGAGAAAAAAAATACATACACACACACATACACACACACACATACTTGGGTGCACACTCCAGTGGAAAAATTGGCAATATTAGTAGCCTCAAGGTGCAATTTCCTGGAGTAGTGAGATTGACAAGTCAGTACTAAATGCTGTTAATTTAACTAACTTCAGATTAATGGTAGAGTCTGCTATGACTGAAGCCCTCAAACACAGTCTCATTATAGCCTTGCTGGGAAGGTCCTAAATATAGGCATTGACAGTTTAAAACAAATTCGTATACATTTGTGTATTTTTAGACATAGGTTAGGCGTCAGAGTTTGTGTCACAGTTTTCAGGTTGATTAATTGACCCAGTAACTGCACCCTTTACCCACTGCCCCCCTTCTTCTTCCACTCCAAATTATAGAGAAAATGGGGGAATTGTCCTTGTTAAGTTATTCAGTGAGCCTTTTATTGTAAGCCTGATGTTTGAATTGCATGCATGCGTCAACACTTGGGTGATAGACACATGATTTATAAAAATAAATTTTTCTAATACTATGAAATCCCCCCTATTAATTTTTATATCCACAACTGTTATTACTGGTGTGAATTCCAGGTGGCATTTAAGATGGACAGCTTCTCTTGAGCTACGCTGGGTTCCCCTTGACATTTTTCCTGCTTTCACCAGCAGAACACATGTTACTTCTGTACCTTCCTTTTCTCCTAGGCTTTAGACTTGATGCAATTTGAGTTGTGATTGCAAAGGGATTCCACTTCGTGATAAAGCTTGCTGTCTCTTCAGATACTTACCAGGGGGATTTGTGGACTTTTACAGCTAGGTCAGCTTTCCAAGATTATTTCTATCCCTGTGCTCCTTAAACAGGGATACTTAAACTTCATCATAATTTCTTGGTAGTAATGATTATTGAAGTAGAGATTCACCTATTGATCCCACAGTATGAGTATTTATGTCTTCCTGGAGTGTTGAATTTTAATTGCAGATTTTGTTGGAAATATCATTTAGAAATAAGAAATGAACATGCTTAATGTGGAGGAGAATGAAAAGTGTTTCTAAAAACTGGAGATTTTGTAAAAAAGAGAAATTGTATAGAAATCTCCCCCTTTTGGGGGTTCATTCCCCAGGTGTCCTTGAAGCTATACTTACTCGCCTCTGTTGTTGGGGGTAATTGTATAGACAAGTCAGAGACGCACTGACTGAGTTAGTGGTTTCCAGCCATTTCACAGAGCAAATCTTTATTTTTTCCCCCTATGGATTTTTTAATAGCTTAATAAAACACTCTTTTGAAAGCTTTTTTTTTTTTTGCCACCAAACCAGCTGACTTACAAAGTAATCATGTTTCTCCCTATTATTAATGACCTATTTTAACTGCCAATAGAAGCATCTGTTCAGATGAGATAATCAACCCAACTGAGTTAATATATTTTAAGCAGAAGCAAATTAATATGATAATTATATTAGAGTGGGTAATTTTATCTGGAATAATAGTGTGATAGGGTAGGCTGTTTGACACCTTGGAAATAGTTTTGGGAACCACATTTCTGTTTTTTTTGATTCCAGTATGGGAAGCTTTACAATCTCCTTATTTTAAACATGAAGAAACTGAGATCACGGAAGTTGGGATGACTTAAGCCACAATTTTCTTAAAAATCTTAAAGACCTCAGGGAACTTTCTCTAAACCAAATGGAAGATGAACCGACCTATTATATTGTAATTTTTCCAGTCACTATTTGGCATGAAATAGATGAACTCATTTTGGCTGGCTGGTTGGACTTACAAAATAGAAAGCTTATGTTTATTTTATAATTGTTTTTCCTGCCATAATTTCATAATTGTTTTTCACTTACATTTTTTTGGGGGGGGAGGGTCCATCCATTCCCTTTCACTTCCACCCACTCGGTATTTCCCTTTGAGCTCAGCACTCTCAAACTTTTTTCAGGGTTTGGCCTTTTCTCTCATTGCAGTTGGTCCCCTGTCCAGCCAAGCAACTGTCCCTCTGAGCAGCTATAGCCAGCACAATAGAGGGTCTGTGGGTGTGTGGTGAGCAGTCCGGCTGGCAAGACCACTCTGCAGCTCCTGAAACAGGCTCCTTGCTATTGTGGTGTTTAATTATCAACAGCGTTTCTACCACCCAATGCTTCTGAGTGGGTATTTGTTATAAGACCTACCCAGCTAATTAACTGTGGGAGGGGTTGGAGGAGGGCTGGGAACTTGGTGTTCAAAGAATACAATTACGGTTACTGTTTAAATCCTGAGATAAATAATGATCAGGGACTGAATGGGTTTTCTTCACCATCAGAATCTAATGTATGGATTGCCAACTACTTACTATTTCTTAATTATACCCTTGCCCTGAAATTGGTGAATTTGGGCCTGGTTGATAATTGCTTAAAACTTGAAAGTATAATGAGGGTAAAATATAAACCAATTTTAATCTTTAATTGAGGATTTTAGGGAACAATTTACTTGGCTTGCTTGAAAAAATGGAAAAAATAGACACATTTGCACATTATTAATGATATGCCATTTTGCAATTTAGTAGCAGCTTTTCTATTATTATTATTATTATTAGCATTTTCCTCTTTTATTGATGAGAAAAGGGAAGCACTAATATAATCATTTAACCTCAGTGACAGAAGGATTCTTACAAGCAACTTTAGGTTTGCTAAACCTTAGGTTGCCTAACCCATGGCACCCTTGGCCTTGTCTGATCTTCTTCATGAGGGGACCTCAATGTTCATCAAAGTAGTCTCACCTACTGTCACCCAATTCTGAATTTAAATCTTGAAATCTATTTTCCTATTACTTTTCAAAGTGGAGGCAATTCTTAAAACGGCTTTGGCATTTTGTAGATCAAGCACTATGCCTAACAAATACATCATGCTACCAGTTACTCTGCCATATTCAGCCTCAGTATCTCATCTGTAAAACTGGCATAATAATGGCACCCATCTCATAAGATGCAATAAATTAATGATAATCTTTACATAGAAGGCTCTGAGTGGAGGTTTATATTATTATTGTTATACACATTGAGTTTATACTTTTAGAGACACATAATTATAAATCAGAATACTTTTTTTAGGTAACAGTTTGGTATTTTCCATTAAAAATCTCTTGCTTCAGATAAAAACTTTCTATTCTGCTACTATTTAGCAATATGATATATACTCATAAGTGGTGTCAGTTTCAACCCTGTTATTTCAAAGGCGAAAACAAGATCACTTAAGCATAAACCTGTACTGTAAGTCAGTATCCCCTTGGCAGCCAAGAAGAGCAGTTAATAAAATTTATCCTTGCTGATCATAAGTGTAATACAACTTTACAACTGACTTGGTTTAAGGTAGGAATATCAAAAGAAGTAAAGTATTAGGTATACTAATGATCAAATTATGTTAAATTAAG